CACGTTGCGTTTTCTTTTGCTGCTGCCCCGCAGACCACCAGCCCCTTTCGAAAAAACTCTAACTGATGAAAACTGACAATGAACGAGCTTGAACGAGCGCTGGCCGGCGCTGGCTGGCGCTGAGCTGGACTTGGTAACGTATCCGAGCTCTGCGAAATTATAGCCACAGGACATGCACACACAAAGCATCCAAATCAGCGCCTGCTCCGCAACTGCACACACAATGTGGCAAACGAGGCCAAACAAAGCCCCAAAAAAAAAAAAAAAACAGGGGCTAGCAAAAAGCTGAGAGAAAGAGAGATAAAGAGAGAGAGAGAGGGGGGAGGAGCAGCAGTCGAAGTTAACTATTCCGGGCAAATAACTTGAGGACATGACAATGCAATTTCGAGCCAATGCTCGATCCCAATGAAAAATCCATCAACGAATCGCCAATCTCTGACTGAGTCTGACTCCCCCATCCTCCTGCTCCCCAGCCAGCCGGGACATATGCGGCCCATATTGATATGTCATGCTAGCCGAGAGCACAGCGCAGTTGATGGATCTCGTATGAATGCGTGAATCACAGTGAAACTTTGCTGCAGACTCTGGCCAAGCGCTGCCCAGTGCATGTTGCGCATTATCTTTTTAGGTTGGAAGCAGTGGCAGTGTTTGCTCTGCTAGTAGATACCCTGTAAGCATCACACTCTTTCCCTCTCTCATATTCTTAATAACATTTAGAAAGATCTAAATGTATATGAATCAGAGTCTGAGCAGTTTAGTTGAGAGTAGTCGACTAACAGATACCCTGCATATTATATAATTATAAATATATATATCTTTATATATATATATATTTATATATATTACATAGTTACATAGCATTTAAAATATGCATAAATACTGACTGGAAGATACCCTGTATTTTGCTCACTTATATTTATTTATATATTATGTATTAAATATAGTTTACCTATAAAAAAATTAATATAAGATCAATGTCTAAGAGTATAAGTATATGATGGACTATCACATACCCTGTAAAGTGCTGCACTTAGAGATATTTCATTTACTACACTATACACAATTACAAATTACAGTATAAATATGTGAGAGTAAGTTAATTGGAAGTAATTGACTAGCAGATACCCTGTATATCCCTTTCTTTATCATATTTATAGACAAATGCATTTTAAGATGTGCATCAAATTTATGTAAGTATTTGAGTATATGTTGTGAGTATGGGTATCTGTCAGGTAAGCAAAATAGGCCTATTTATAGACCAGTCGTTCATACCCACTCACACAGAAGCGCACATTCGAAGAGTATACAAAGGAGCCGCTAGCATAAGAACTTATGGCCAATACTGCTCGTAGCTAGCTTTGCATGAGCAACAAGCTAATTAATGGCTGTTAATTAACAGGTAAATAAATCAATTCGTTGCCTTAATTAATTTAATATATAAATATAAAAATAAATCCAGGCGAGTGACGCGCTCGAAGAGCAACAGCTCAAATTTATGCGATTCGAGAAAAACAACATCATTTTCATAAGTACAAAAAGAAATTTAGATATGTATATATATGTATATATATATATATATATATATATATTATAGCATTATGTTGCATAGCCTTGAAGCTGCTGCTGCTCTTATGATAGCTGACGCATCGTTCCATACAAATAAATAAATATATATATATATGTATATATACATATATATTTATATATATATATATATATATATTTATATATATATATGAACGCGATTTATATAGTATTTGTCGCTGCGGCTCATTTGATTGGACAAATTGCTTGGCTAATTTGCAAGGCATTTGGTTGAAAGCCGCTGGCACATTTATCATGACGCGTTTAGCATTAGAGCGCGTCCATCACATCAAGTGACTTCGCCGTGTTTGGCAAACTATTTTTGTACGGCCGGCCACACGGCGTATGAGTAATGTCTTGATTTGCCAACGGCTTAAGATTTAAATTTATTTATTGCCGCAGCATCAGCGACAGCAAAAACCAACTCAACTCAACTGCGGCTGCGATTTAATTTTAGATGCCTTGAATTCTCTTTTATTATAATGCAACAGATTTCATTGTTGTTTTTGTTGTTTTTGTTGCTTGTTGCTTGTTGCTGGCATCAACTATTTCTAAATCTTTGCCAGCTTCTTCTCCAATAGCTCTTTCGCTTTACTTTTTGCTTGCAAATGTTTTTTTGGCGCCTGCCTCTGCCGTGCGACGTGGGCGCCTCCGCTGGGTGGGCGTGCAGCTTGGGGGCAGCTGCGTTTGGTATATGCGGGCGCCTCTCTCGCACTGTGCGTGTGTGTGTGTGTGGCATGGCTTGCATTTTAATTATGACAAAGTGCTGTTAATGTGCCTTTCATTGCCCATATAAATGGGGCGTGGCACGTTTGCTTTTGATTAGTGGGCACCAAAAGGTGCTGACTGAAGCGCTGCAGGCCCTTAGCTTAGGAGCTCGACAGCTAGACACAGCGTCTAGCTAAGGGAACTAGTAGTCTTGCAGCTAGTTTTTGGCAGCCTTGCCTGTTGCATATATACACAAACAGATATCTTGAGTATCTTTGATTAACAATTGCCCAAATGATTCACTTAATTTGTATTTCTTTTCACTTGCTGTGAAGTTGCCTCAATTTGTCTGATCAACTGGGAACAGAGCAAGGCGAAATTTTAATCATTTCAATTTGCATGCGAAATCTGAGAAAGTTTTGCATAGACTTAACTGAAAAGCGTGTGCTACTGGGCAATGTGTGTTATTAGTTGATGCAACACATGTGGCAGCATGCCCGCCTGCCCCAGTAGCAGCGCCTGCCTGGCTGTCGGATTACTTGCGTATAATTGAAATCTATGCGGGCTCGCTGCATATCTCTAAGCGCACAACGAGGCGTTAGTTGTTATTAGTTGTTGTTAACAGCAATTACACACGCACACACACACACACACACACACACAGACTCATTATGTGCCAAAAATGAGGCACATTTTCAGAGATGCGACGCAAAAATTTTCCAATTTTCTCTGGTTTTTTGCTGCTGCTGCTGTTGTTGTTGTTGTTGGTTGTAATTGCCGGCAGTTGTTGCTGTTGTTGAGGTCACATTGAACGTCAAAGGCAAAAGTTTGGCAGAGCGTTAATTTCGTTTGCCCATAAACATGCAACATATGCGTGCAGGCAAAGGGGCGTGTGTGTGGAAGGAAGGGTCGCTGTGTCCTGCACTGCATTTGCAACCCTAATAAAGCGCAGCGGTTGCTGCCACACGTGGCCCAGCTCTGATAACAGACGCCTGCCTGCCTGCCCTACAGATTGCCAGCCAGCCTGGCTGCCTGCCTAGCTTCCAGGCAGCCGGGCAATGCCCACGTCCTGCCTCTGGTTTGTCCTGTTTGCCTGGACTTCGTGCCGCACTGTGATTTATGCACTAAGCAGCGGCGCGTCTATGCGCCGCCCGCTCGCGCCCCCTTCGAGCCATGCTGAAAATGCAATTCTCATCTGATTGTTGCTGCTGCTGCTGCTGCTGTGGCATGTTTGGCATGTGGCATCCACGCGAGATGCGCACGGTACATGCCACTTGCAGCAAGTGCCACAAAAACATTGACACATCGTTTACAAGGCCAGCACAGAGCCAGAGCGAGCAGACTTGGAGCCTGGGAAGCAGCTGCCCGCTCTGGATCGTGCCACAGTCGACAGCGACAGCGACAGCGACAGCAAGACAAAGGAAACATAAGAAAAACAAATGAAATATGAAATAGAAACGCTACCCCTATTGCAGCAATACTTGCTGCCTGCCTCCCACCCCCCAACCCCCTCGACCCGTCTCGATTCTTTTGAAAATGCTTATCAAATTAATTTCGCTTAAATTCGCGTTTATTGTTCGAGCTCAGCTCGCGTCTCTGGGCAGGGGGTTAATTGCGAGGGTTTAGCTCAGCAGCAAATACAACTAGTTGCCTCTCGCTCGCTCTACCCCTCCCTCCCCCTCTCTCTGCCTCTTTTATCTCGCTCTTTCTTCTGCTGACTTTCCTTAAGCGTTGCAGTATTGATTGCATGTTTATTGTTTGTTTGCCGCTTGATGCTTTGGCCAAAGGTAAACGGAGTCGATTTCCTGCGAGGGTTGGCCCAACAGTTGCCAATTCCATGTGCTCTACACGCTACACGTGTCCGCTGTTGTTCAATTATGTTTAAGCCAAATCTGCAGCGCAAACACTGAACGCCGCGCACTCTGGGGCACTCCACACTACTACTATATGTAACATTATATATATTTATATCTAGAAAAAATCAAATCATTTACAAAAAGAGCAGCGCATGGCCTCCACTGTGGCAACCCCTGGCAACCCCATTTCAAATGCCATCACCAATTTTTAAGTCGAAAACTAAACACACGCGACTCAGAACGCCGTCTGGATTGAAATTGAGTCGTTTAAGCTGCACCACCCAACCACCCAGCCATCCAGCCACCCAGTCACCCAACCCAACCACCTACACACTCAGCAACCCCAACGAAGTCGCAGTTCATCATTCATAGAACAGCTCAACCCTCCGAAATGTACTAATTGATTGAAATTCTCAGTTTTAAATAGAAATTTTTCGATTCGAAAATAATATCTCAATATTTAATCTGTCTGCTCTTCACAGAACACGAATCTATATGCTCCTCCTGCTAACCGTTACATACATTCCAGCGCAACCAAAATTCCCGACAGCGAAATTCTTGAGCAATCAATTTGATGTTAGCCAAAATATTCCTGCTAAGCTGTCATCAATTTTTATACAATTTATATGCGTAATAAAAACATATAAGATGCTCATAAATATCAAAGAGAAATAAATATATTGGTGAAAAACATCAATTGAATAGATGTTTAAAAATAAGCCAATTCGTCTGCGCGCGATTTGCCTCGATTTAATTGGAACTTTTCCAGATTTAATAAAATGAATTTAGCTTGAATCGAATTTGAGTTCTAGCTCAAGTCTTGCTACTACTAGTTTCTCTCAGTGTACTCACTTTTGCACTCGTTGGCTTCGCGTGCTGTGGCACGTCCCCAGGGCCGATCGAAGTAGAAGGGCTTGCAGCGTTCGCAGTCGCGTCCGTCCGTATTGTGACGACACTCGCAGCTCAGCTGGCCGCTGGCATCCGGCGAGCACTTGGAGGCGTGGCCGTTGCACTTGCAGCGCCCGCCCACGGAGAAATCGGATACAGCATAATGAAGACCCGCCGCAGCAGGCGCGGAGGCAGCGGCGCCAATGGACTCGATATTGTTGCCGGCCAGCGGAACGCTGTATTTGCCGGTGCGCAGATCGGCGGCGGGCGCATCTATGTTGAGCAGCGCTTGAGGATCGGGCTGTTGCAATCGATAGAAGACAATGCGTATATCGGTGGCTGTCACCCAGTCCTGCAGCACGGTCGACGCATCCAGATCACGGGCCGAGGGCCGACCCTCCAGCGTGCTGAAGGCGATGCGAGAGGCCACGCCACTACTGCCGCCATTGCCGTCGTGGCCATGTCGATGGGCGTCGCTGCAGCGTGGCTCGTGCTCGTTGTGCTTGGTGACGGTGGTGCGAGCGGGTCGGCCGAAGAGGCGGCGGCACTGCGAGCTGTAATACTGGAACGGCTGCCAGGTGCGGCCGTAGTCGGAGCTCTTGAAGATGACCAGCGAATCGGGACGTGGTGCACGGGGACAGAACTGCAGACTGACATAGGTTAGCTCGTACTTCTTGCCCAGGGACAGGGTCAATGTGACATTGTCGCCCCAGTGGCTGGAGCCGCCGCCGCCTCCAGCATAGCTGCCACCGGGCGCAATCGGTGCCGATCGCCAGCAGGTCACATTATTGGAGTTGTTCAGATCGGTGAGGGCGCGTGGCGGAAAGCTGTTCGCCTCGCAGCTGTGGCACTGCAAGTCGGTGGGGCCAGTGGGTCGGCTGCTTTGATCCTGATACTCGCAGTAGCGCTGCGGCTGCTGCTCGCCGCAGGTGCTGCTGGCCACGACGGGCGCATCGTATGCGGCGTTCACGAAGTCCGGTATGCAGGCGCGTGCCTTATCGTAGTCGTAGCACGGATCCTCGGCACGCGGCATGGCCAACATTTTGAGGTACGCATCGTTGGGCTTGGCCAAGGCTGAAATGGCGCCCAAGCTCAATAGAAACAGTTGCCACCGTCGCATGGCGGAGTTCACAATAAACACACACAAATCACACGAAAAAAATATATATAACTGTAACTGTAACTGCTAATTTTTGTAAGTTTAATACACACGCACACAATTGGTCCGTTTACTGTTTTGCCAGGAGGCGTTCTGAGCAGCGCGCGCAAGCGTTTTTTGGTGCGTGGTCTAAGAGCGTTTTAAATCGCGCGCGGGTCGCGTAGACTACACAGCAGCGGTCGTCGTCGTCGTTGACTTTGTTGTCGTCGGTCGGTCTTCGGTTTACGTCAAGTCGGCCTGCCAGTTAACAGTCGACTGTGTAATCGTCGTGCACGAAGCGCGCGCACCAGCCCACGAAGTCAGTTTGCTTTGTGTAATTGTGTGTGTCTGTGTGTGTGTGTGTCTGTGCTTGTGTGCGTGTACAGCGTCTACAGATCGCGTCTGCCTTTGTATGTTTGGCAACATATGTTGCTAACAAGAGCGCACAGCATCGTCTCAGCATCCACACTGTTGCTGGCTGTTAACTCACCACAGCATGCTCTCTCTGTCGCCCTCTCTCTCTCTCGCTCGTTCATACGCTCGCTCTCTCGGTTCGGCTTGCGCAGTCAATGTTGCTTGGCAACATTTTTGCCTGCAGGCGGCTGTTTTCGTTGCCGTTGCTGTTGAGCTGGCAACATTTGTTGCTGGGGCTTTTTGCATGGCTCTGCAATTATTTTATTGCCCACTTGGTGACACATTTTGTGGCAGGCTGCTGTTGATTGTTGTTTGTTTGTTTGTTTCGTTCTTTGTTTGTTTGTTGTTTTTGCAGCCATCAAAATCGCACCCAACGCCGCCGACCACATTGCAAATCAAAACAACGCCAAACGCGACTGCCTGTCGCGGGGTACGCAGAGGCACACAGTAGGCGTCGCTTATGTCTTGTGTTTGCCTCTCGATTGCTATCGATAATGAAGTCGCCAAACGGCTGCTGTCGATGCCAGCAGCGAATGCTGCGACCTAAGTTATTAACTAGTTAATGAAAATCATCAATTTTGTACCAAAACTTGAGACGACCAAAGGGCGCTCGCGGCAGTGCCAGTGCCAGTGCCAGAGAGCAAGGGGCATTAAGAGATACATAATTATGTGGTGCGTGTATGCGATGGCTTCATTAATGATGCGGCTGCTCCTCTGCTGCTACTCTGATGTCCATCTGCTGCTGCATTGCCTACGTCGCTCTGATAAGCGTTTTACTTTCGGTTTAATCCGTCCTTCGGCTTCCATCGCCCCGTTGCTGCCTTCGAGCTTTTATTTGCTTTTGTTTTGTAATTAGCTGGAAATGCATTTCGCCTGCATTCGACCGTATTTTTGGCGTAGGCGTGCGCATGGGCGTGGCATTGCCAGCCACAATCGAACCAAGCGCTAATTGTACAAATTCTCACGTGATTATGCAACACACAAAGAGCAACAACAACGGCAACGATCAAACATTGCCAACAACGCCAATTAAAATGTTTTATCTAATTTCTGAAATATATTATTTAAATGTTTTCGTACGCTCTGCACTTCATCTAATGAGTTCGCATTCACATCTAATTAGAGTTTAATTGTAAATAAAACACCCGAAACCATTACAAATGAAAGCCAAAACCAAGTGAACAGCTCTTTGTATATCCAGTTTCAGAGTCTATTGACCGAGCTTTGTGATTAGCTGACTTCAAGTGGTTGAGAATTGCAAAGCAAACTAAAAATACGTGAATTTACAACACAATGAGTTTTGGGTGCATTTAACTATGTAAAATATTTTAATGTGGAATAATAATAAATTTGATTTTAGATACTTTTCGCTTCGTACTCCATCATCTGGCAGATCTGGCTTATAGATTATAGATTCTCTCTGCACTTATTTTCATTTAGTGTCTGACTAGGGGATATCCTGTAGCTCTTATCCATATAGGTTACTATTTTTTACGATTTTAAGTACAATGCAGAAAGGCATTCAAAGAACTTTAGGAGAATATCTAATTCAAATTAGCGAAATCTAGTTCAGAGTTAACAGTTATCGATTACTTTCGAGTGCACTTGATTTGTGGGTGGTATAGATGGAACTCCATGTCTCAAGTCTTTAGTCATATATATATGTAGATAGATGATAGATAGCACGAGTCTGTGTTTTATATGCAAAGATATTTGTATATATAGCAAGGCTTAAGATCGATTATTTTGGATTAAGCGAACGAATGTGGAGAAGTATCCAAGTTAACACAGGCATCTGCATACGAAGTTCTTTCTACTTCATCTAGCTTTCATACTCTCTGTATTCTGCTTCCAAAATTGAAAATTATAATATCGATACATTATCGATAACAAAGAAATATTGGCATGAAAGAAAAGGTATAATAGATCGATTTAGTTGATCATGCTGATTAAGATACATTACATAAATTCGCTCTAGTTCATTTCTTATAGATTCAATGTCCATATACCCTTATATATAGACAGCTTAAATGTGCTCAATCGGAGTATAGAGTATTCTGTTGCTACTCTAAGCACTTATGCAAACTATCGAATAATTTGCTGCACTTCAATAAATATCGATTGTATGCATTGATAGCAATTATCTCTTTGGCCCTTCGGTCAATTATTTGAAATTAAAGCCACTCATTAGAGAAGCTGATTATTTGAGCTATGGCCATAAGGAGGCAAGGTAATTACTTACAGCTCCATAGGATATCACACACTCACACACACACACACATGGAGACACACTCTGGACTTGGACGAGCTCATTTCCGCTTCCATTGTTGCGGGTTAACTTCCTCAATGGAGCCCACTGGCTCGTCAGCTGGATCCATATCAACGTGGGGCTCATGTGCTATTAGAACTTTTGCTTTATTACCTTGGCGCCACTGGGTATGTGTGTGCCCGTGTGTGTGTGTGTGTGTGTATGAGACTGGAAGGCAGCTGCTCGAAACTTTGGTGCTTAATGAAAATTGCATTGTGTGTCGTTGTGTGGATTTTGGATTCTGATTTCGAGTGCCGTCCACAAAGGCCGCTCTTTGTGCTGAGCGGGGGCCAAGAGCAAAGTCCAAGCGGCTGTCTGTTTGCATTGTTGTAGTTGTTGCTGTTCCTGTTGCTCTTGCTCTTGCTCTTGCTGTTTGTTTGTCTTGTTTTGTTTGTCTCGTGGCCGGCCGGCGGCAAGATTTTTAGATTATGACGCTTTTGCCAACATTCCCCAACGACGGGCCAAACATTTAGTCAAACGCAGCTCAACTTGTCCCGTCGCCACTTTGTTTATTGTGTGCTTCTCTCACTCTCGCCTCTCTCTCCTCTCTCTCTCTCTCTCTGCCACTCTTTATTGGCGACATCAATAAAATGCGACATTGAACCGAGCGAACAGCCGGCGCCCCCTTTTGGGTGCCGGCTTGTGTATTCACACGGATGTAGCTCATAGGTAAAGCGGCCCACCTGACCGCCTCCCAAGCCCCTTTTTTTATATGGGAACGGGTCAGTTTTTGGTCAATGTTTATCTCAACATTTTGTTTGTCTTTTCGCAAAAGTGTTTGGTTGTTGCTGGCGCAGTTTGCTGCATTTGTATCTCGATTTTATTACCGAAGCTGCGAACATGTGAGAGAGGCAGAGTGAGAGAGAGAGAGAGAGAGAGGAAGACCGGATTGAGGACAATATAGAGTGCCCCACCCGCGCTGGAGGCATGGCGGGCGGCAGTTCAACTAAACGCACAGATAGATGACTAGATTCCTATCAGCGTCAATAAATAAAGTTTTTAAATGGAACAAGAAAATAAATATATGTCTCCGAGTGTCTCCTTGTTGTCACAGTGCACATCCAGGCAGACAGCCAACCGGGCGGCAGCGCGTCTACGCCGCCACGCACAGTGGGCGCTGAATCGATTAACATATTAAAAATTCATTCAAAGTATGAAATCGGTTAACTGCCAGAAACACTTCATTTATCAACTGATCATTTATTGCAATTGGAATATTTGTATAGCTTTCGATTAATACTGATTATGTGATATGGATAGTTGGCGAACTATCGATTAACAATCGACAATAAATCTTTGACAAAAATTGAGCACTGTTGTTGAGAAAATATCGATTATTAATCGATAAACAATCAACAACTATCGATTATTTTATATTAAATATCTAAAAAATCGTTATCGTATATCGACTATATCTGTTAAATCGTTTACAAAGTAATCGATGATCAATTGTAGTTAACCGAAATATATCGATATGTAAAACACCGTTATACAATATCGTTGCAATCGATATTTGCTTTTTATCGATCAAACCACTGTGCCACTGCAGCTCAGTCACATTTTGTCTCTTTTGCCAGCTTTTCATATTGAAAAAGTTTTTCGAGTGTCTATCGCAGTGTCTACTGCTGCCTGCTCGTACCGCTCGCTATTCGCAGACTCCGGCTCTGCGGGCTGTGCAGGCTGTGCTCCGACGAAGGTCTGTCCATGACGTCTGTTTGGCTTGTTGTTTGTGTGTTTGCTGCTGCAACGCTTTGTCCCTTGTCTTGTGCAATATGCGTCGTGTCTTGGCTGCCTGCCTCGGGCCTTGGGCCTTGGGCTTACAATGCTGCAATTGCAGTCGATGCTGCTGCCAACCCATGTACATGCTTAGACACACACACAGATATAAAGAGACAGATACAGATACACGTATGCAGCTACTTACATTGATTTTATAATTAGCCGTGTCAGCAGAGATAGAGAGAGTGGGGGAGGTTGGAAGGGAGAGGGCGCTCGTACAGGAAGGAAGGACGTTGGCAGAGAATTCAAAGTCAACTCGTGGTAATAAAAACAGCCAATTACCTTCAAGACTCATTAAGTACTACAACCATTTTAGCCCGCAGTCAGCACGGGCTGTGGCAATGGCTCCGGCTCCGGCTTAGGCTACGGCTGCGGCTGCGGCTGCGGTGGCGGCGGTGGCGACGTCGGCAGCTGTATCTGTGGCATCCAGTAAAGGGGTGTTCGGTCTGCCAAAGGGCTATTCTGCCTCTGTTAGCTGACCGTTACAATCGAATTAGGCGCCGCTCGCAACGTTAAATGCAATTAAAACTAGAAGATGTTGATTACATTAGAAGTGCAGGCAGTCACAACCCACTACTGACAGCAGCAACTGTGCTGCTTGACTGCCTTACACTGAGCAGTGTGAAAAACGGGCAGACAGCGACAGAGACAGCGATAGAGGGAGAGAAAGAGAGCGAAAATATCACACAGAATTTTCCAACTTTTTGTTGTTCTGGCTGCTGCTTCCTTTTTTTGTTCTTTACAATTTATCCCTTTTTTTCGC